CGCCTGCGGAGCTCCGCCTGGTGGGCTTCCCGCAGTGCCTACAGGTCAGCCCTCTTCTCGTCCGGGCGGCTGTTCCGGGCGTCGATCACCTGCGGGAAGAGCCGCAGAGCCAGTCAGCGTGTGCGCTCGCGGGCGAGGGGACCAGAGGAATCCTAGACGCAGGCGGGACCCCTAGAGTAGTACCTGGGAAGGTGTGTGTGGAAGTGATTTATTAGAAATCGTGCCCAGCCCTAGCTCAGTGGACAGAGCGTCCGGCTGTGGACGGAAGGGTCCCAGGTTTGATTCCGGTCAAGGGCACATGCCAGGGTTGCAGGCTTGATCCACAGTAGGGGGGTGCAGGAGGCAGCCAATCACAATCGATTCTCTCTCATCACTGATGTTTCTATCTCTTTCTCCCTCTCCCTTCCTCTCCGAATATAAAAGAAATTGTGTCCAGGAGAAACCAGTAAGGGAGCAGGGAAGTGGGACAGGGTGGAAGCAAGAAGGGGGTGATAATACAGAAAGGGTGTCCACGGCAGTATTCCCTAGGGACTTCCGCAGTGCTGTGGGGATCAGCGGGGGGTTCAAAGCTCCAATTTGTTCAGAAAGAACACTTTGAGGTGCAAAAAACACAGAACATAGAATTCAGCTATACATAGAAAGGATTCTACCCCAGATCAAGGGGGAATGCACCTCATACACCATAGTAGGTACTCATACACAGTAGAAACTCATACATAGTAGGTACTCATACACAGTTGGAACTCATACATTGTAGAAACTCATACATAGTAGGTACTCATACATAGTTGGAACTCATACATTGTAGAAACTCATACATAGTAGGTACTCATTTCCCAGAAGGTACTCATACACAGTAGGTACTCATACATACTAGGCACTCATACACAGTCAGTACTCAGATACCGTAGGTACTTATACACAATAGGTATGCATACACTACAGTAGGTACTCATACACAGAAGGTACTCATACACAGTAGGTAAGCCTGCCACATGAACATCAAACTCAGGTGTTTATAAAAAATCCTATTGTTTATTAAAAATCTCCACTTGGGTACCTAACGTGCATCTCAAATTTAATCATGGATTTTTCCTTCAAAACCTGCTCTTCCTACAATATTCTCCATCTCACTTCATGGCAACTCACTTCTTCCAGTTGCTTAGCTCAAATTTTAGAGTGGACCAATAAGCACGTGAAAAGATGCTCAGCATCACTCATCCTTAGAACTACAGTGAGATAGCACTTCACGTCTATTTGGATATTTATTGTAAAAATATAATAAGATAAGCCTTGATGAGGATGTAGAGAGATTAGAACCCTGTGCAGTGCTGGTGGGAATGTGCAATGGTGCAGCTGCTGCGGAAGTGATATGATGATTCCTCATAAAATTAACCACAGGATTACCAATAATCCAGCACTTCCACTTCTGGAATTTCAGTTCCAAAACAACTGAAAGAAGGGACTAGAATAGATATCTGTACACACATGTTCACAGCATGATTCACACTAGCCAATAGGTGGGAACAACTCAAGTGTCCATCAACAGATGAATGGATAAACAAAATGTGATATAGACACACAATAGAATATTATTCAGCCTTTAAGAGAAAGAAATTCTGACACATGCAAACTTGAAGACATTATACAAGTGAAATAAACCAGTTACAAACGGACAAATATCATATGATTCCACTTATATGTCCCTACAGCGATACAATTCACAGAAACAGAAAGGAGGATGGTGGTTGCCAGGGCGTGCAGGGAGGAGGGAATGGGGAGTTCATGTTTAATGGGTACAGTTTCCCTTTAAAGATGAAAAAGTTCTAGAGATGGTGGTAATTGCATAACAATATGAATGTAACTAACGCCACAGAACTGTATGCTTAAAAATGGTACATTTTATGTAATTTATATTTTAGCGCAATAAAAAAATTATCTAAAAATGTATTGAAGTCACCCTGTCTCTCACACCTGACATCCACTCCATCAGCCAATCCCAACTCTCTCCACTTCTCACCGTTCCACACTCCCCTCAATCTGGGCCATGAGCACCTCTCACCTGGACCACAATGGCCTCTTTTTTTAAAAAAAATATTTTTTTATTGTTTTTATTGATTTTTTCCAGAGAGGAAGAGAGAGGAATAGAGAGTTAGAAACATTGATGAGAGAGAAACATCGATCAGCTGCCCCCTGCACACCCCCTACTGGGGATGTGCCTGCAACCAAGGCACATGCCCTTGACCGGAATCGAACCTGGGACCCTTGAGTCCGCAGGCCGACGCTCTATCCACTGAGCCAAACCAGTCAGAGCCACAATGGCCTCTTCATCCTGTTTCTATCTTGCCACCTAGAGTCTGCTAAAGTCAGTCACCTGTGTCCCATCACTGCTCAAACCCTCCTGATGGCTGCCCAGTGCACTCAGGAACAGCCAGAGCTCTGGGCTGGGGAGTGGAAACGCCCGGGAAGTGCAAAGGTCATGTAGTTGCTGTCCCTTCCTTTATGGAAATGGTTCGGAACCCGGCCCACACGAAGCTGGGCTCCTGCAAGCAAATGGGCTTGGAATGGATTTCTAGATGGAGTCCAAGACGCTAATTAAAATCTCACATCACCCATCAGAGAGCTGTTGCTAGGCGCCTGGCTGCACGAGGCATCGAGCAGTGAGGCATTAGCTTCTGAGTAATTGAAGCCCAACTGTCTCCCAAACCAATTTCGATGGAGATGTAGCTGAAAGGTGAGGGCTGTCTCTCCACAAGGCTCTTAATTAGAGCCCCTCCTCTTACCAGCCGAGGCGAACACTCACACAGACACAGGCCAGCCTGCCTTGCAGTGAGTTGCAGCAGCAGCAGCAGATGCGGGACCTGGAAAGGGACCGGCTTGTCTTTCTGATCTCGAACGACTTGTTTGCAGCTTTTGGGGAGACAAAGACTAGCGACAGCTCCCTCGGTTCACCAATCTGATCAATAGATATGCATATGTGTTAGTGATGCTTCTTCTGTGAATAAAACCAGTACAGAGGAATCTTAATGCCTCTCACAGAAAATATTTTAACAGGGAAGTAATCCAGGTGGGAGCCACAAAATCCAGGAAGGCCGGCCGGCCTATGTCTGAGTGAGTGTTCGCCTGGGCTAGTAAGAGCCTTGTGGTTGAACATCAACCTATGAACCCAGAGGTCACGGTTCGATTCCAGGTCAGGACACATGCTGGGGTTACCAGCTCGATCCTCAGTTGCGGGAGGGGGGGTCATGCAAGAATTCTCGCTCATCATTGATGTTTCTATTTCTCTCTCTCTGAAATCAATTTTAAAAAAATTGCGTGAACTCAAAAGCAGAAATAGCCACTCCTCAAGTTTACCAGGCTGGCCTCCGTGTTCCAGTCCCACCAGACAGACAAACAATAATTGGTTTTGCCCCAACAGTTGGCCACTAAGTTCCTTTATTATTATTATTATGCTTGAAATTTGTGCACGGGTCTCGGCCCTTGCAGCCCCGGCTTTGTCCGGAAGGTTGTTCGGCTGTCCGGTCTAATGAGCATATTATGCTTTTATTATTATAGATTATTATTATTATGCCAGTTAATATCCCTCATCATTTATTTTGGGATGTGCTAGGCCCAGGAGAACAAATGACGACGGAGCTCAGGACTTCCAGCTCCTTCTATGGGCAGTCAGTGCAGGCAGGTCCTGCGGGTGGACGGGGGTGGGGGGTGGGGATGGGGTGGGGGCGAGTGCACTGGGCAGAGCAAGGAAGAGCTCTGGTCAGACCTGGGCCGAGGTGTGCGGGGGAGCGAAGGATGCCACGGGAGAGCTGGGAGAAATACTGATTTAAGCCTCAGAGAGCAGATCTCAGCATACTAGTGTAGTTATTTTTAGGTGGTCGAATTAGAGGGGATTTTAATTGTTAAAATTTTTATTTTGCTGTTTTGCATTTTCTAATTTCCTACAAAATATATATTACTTGGTAAATTAAGATGATCAAAGGAAAGGGAAATTATAAAATATTTTTAAAACCCCAAAATGATATGAACAATTTAACCATGAGACTTTTTTTTTATTTTTTTCTGTATTGATTAAGGTATTACATATGGGTCCTTATCCCCCCATTGCCCCCCCCCACTCATGCCCTCACCCCCCTGGTGTCTGTGTCATTGGTTTGGCTTATATGCATGCATACACGTCCTTTGGTTGATCTCTCCCCCTCACACCCACCCTCCCCTACCTCCCTCTGAGGTTTGACGGTCTGATCAATGCTTCTCTGTCTCTATGAGACTTTTCTATATTTGTTATTGTATTTGTTAAAAAGGGAAACTTATTCGCATGAATGGTAACTTTGAAGGCTTCTTCCTTAGATGCCTGTCATTGGCATTCTTTTAATAATCAAAGAGCAAATGTAAGGATGACAGCTATAAAAAATAAACCATTCTCAGCTCAACGTTTCATTTTCCCGCATTGCTCCTGATCTCAGTTCAGGTGCTCTGGCCCCAGAGAGAGTGCTGAACTTGCAAAGCCACGGCACAGCGAATGCCACGCTCAGTCAACCTGCAGATGACGTCACAAGCAGCACAAATGCAAAAGCAGCAGGTGTCTTTAGGACACATACCCATGCAGGGTACCGAACTCCTCGTGTGTCAGATGCACAGAGAATCCCAGAGCGCGGAATTCAGGATGAGTTCAGAGCGCTGTATAAGGATGACTATTCTTACAGTTTCCAAAATGTGGGATACTCAGCAGCCACTTTTAAAAGGGTATAAATAGCCA